TTTTTTTTTTTTTTTTTTTTTTTTTTTTTTTTTTTTAAGAAAAAAAAAGAAAAAAAAAAGCAAGGTTTAAAAGTATTCGCAAGTGACTCATGAAGGTTCCCTGCCATCCCCAGTATAACAAACTACATGTTATCTCCTCTGTCCTTCTAGGGACACCTGCAACATCACTAGCGTAGTAGGAGACATATTACTATTGACTGTTAACTAATCAGCTGCTTCCGCCCTACCAAGCACAACAGCAAACAAACACCCCACTGCTCCAATTGGTCCAACGCACAAGCTACTTTACTGAAGCATTGTATCATAGTAGAGAACTCAGTTCGTCTTCCTGTCAAAGACTGTGAATGCAGACAAAGTTGGATGCAGTAAGGACTCGATGTTCCGTATGGTTTGATAGACCAGTAATCAGCGACTCATCATGCATATTGTTTGGTTCACTGTGATGACATCTAACGCTGCCTTTGCTGCCTCTTCTCAGGTGTATGTTTCTGAGGAGATTGGTCATCAGTTTGTTACCATGGATTGCAAAAGAAGGGGTAGCAGGGATGATAACCGCTGGCTTCATGATATGATCGAAAGAGATTGTCACATCCCAAGGGTTTGTCAGGAACTGCTTTCGTTCCTTTACAGCCGAGGAGATGCTCTGATGTTTAATCGAACCTTTCACATGTGCCTGTGGTGGATGCTATCGCTCAATTCCATGTGTATGTCTGATGAGAGCCTCTCCCAGTACAACAGCTGCCTGAATGAAGCCAATGGTTACCGAATCTATAACTGCGATCTGGATGTGATGCCCTACATGTATTCCGACCCTTTGTCGAAGAACAGGTTAGATGAACAACAGTCAAGAGCTGGGGCACGCATTTGCACCACGTCATGATTAAGGATCACGGTCCTTGCAATGGGTCTTTGAGACTTTTTCTGCATTATTACTCTGTAGAGTTCTGTCTTCCCATGTCTGTGAAGCTGGTCATCTCTCTATCTGTGTTTTTGTTTCTTTGAATCTCTCGTGGACTTAGGGGACTCTGTGTGATTTCCTTTGGCCATGCTTACTGACTGTTCTGCCTGCCTATCTCATGGTCTTCTGGCCTATCACCGGCCTATCATCAGCTGACCTGCCTAATACTGGTCTGTCTGCTGGCCTTCGGGCCTGCTGCCTTCCTGTCTGCACCCGAGCATCTGCTCACCAGGAGGGTGTTCGAGAGGCCAGCTGGTGAATGGGCAAGTTCAAACGGGTCTTCCAGTGTCGTTGCTGCATAATAGGTTCTCTCTTCCCACTAGTCTTCCCCTCAGTCTGACGGTATGTCACTTTGTCCATCTATCTGCCTTTTTGTCACTCGATTTTCACGTGTACTATAAGTACAAACTGGTTGGTAAATTCCTCTAATGTCTACAGACTTTGCACCTGCACGACTACCTGTTGCGGTGACGTTCATGCATGTCACTGCCTGAATATTCAGGTACATTATTACATTCTCATGGAGGCATTGGAACATGCAAGGCAACGTTGGGAGGCGGAAGGGTGATTGTGGTTTGGGATACCGCATGCCATGGACAAAGAATGTTACCTGTGAGAAACCAGTTTGTGCAAGTGTACATCTCCTATGGAGGTGGCAAAAGTAAATACAACTTGAAACAGCAGTCTGCACTGAATGCTTTTGCTCATTCTTATCACCATTTCCATTCACCAATACTCTGTGGTGATCATGATTTGGTTCCTGCAGTCAACAGCCCATGCTCCTACGCATCACTGAATCCGCTTTGCAAGCCTTGCTGGTAAAATGTTTGCCATACTGATTCTCCTTACAGTTGCTGTCTGTCCTCCAATGCTGACTCATGGAGTTGAAGAGTTGTGGGCATGGTCACTAAACCACTTCCAGGTGTTTCAGAGGATTGAACAATTACTTCTTGCATCTGCAAGACTATGCTGAAGCTTACACTACCACTGCCCCTGGAGCAAAATAAACGAACTGACACTTCTTTTCCAAGCCTGGAGCGCAGCGCCGAGCCAAAAAGATGTGGACCTCCTGGTAGCAGCAGGGAGCAAAACTTTTTTTTTCTGGTTCTGAAAATCCTTTGCTCCTTCTTTCTGGGGAGCGTCAGTCTGGTTCCGATCTCACTGGCAAGTCAAAATTAAATGGATGCCCAAGGCCCCAAACTCTAACGATTCCCCGAGTTACGGTCGGGGGAACGCTGACAGCATCCCCTTGGGAAGGATAGACTGTCAGTCATGACCATGCACTTGACAAAATGTCCCTTCCCTCTGCCGTTTTATCCCCTCAAGACGCAAGTCTGACACACATACAAAAAATATTTCTCAGTCTACCCCTTCGAAATCTGACTGTTAAAACTTAAAACCCTAAACCCTAAGATGTGCATGGCCTGACCGGCATGCATTTTCTGTGACCACTGACCTTAGTTCTTTCCGGCCATCCTTGCCCTGCGATTCTGTACACCGGCTGCCTTTGAAACATAGAGTGATGGTTTTCAGCATCAGTCCAGTTCCTATTCCCCCGGTGAGTCGAGAATGCATGTGCACCCAACGTCAACACTTCCCCATGCTACAGCCCATGGAGCCCTGACAGAATTGATCGCTTCTCTACGGAAGGATTGACTGTCAGTCTAGCCCATCCATTTAGCAGACGGTGCTCTCCCTCTGTCAATTTGACCCCAAGAGAACATGCCCAAAACTCAACAAATGCCTGTTGAAAGTTGAAACCTTAAGCCCTAGCATATCTCTGGCTAATCCTCTATGCCTTAACCGACTGTTGGACAGTCGACTGCTTGACGACGCTGCTGTCCTTGCACTGATTTTTTTTTTTTTTTTTTAATTTAAGAATATTGCAGTTGTCCTTTGGGACATCCGTTAAAATTGGAACGATACAGAGAAGATTACGCAAGGATTACACACATAAATCGAGAAATGGTCCAAAATTCTCCCCCCCCCTCAAAAAAAAAAAAAAAACTTGCAGTTTTATAATTTTTTTCTTTTTCTTTTTGCTGGCGAAGCCGCAACAGGTACCCTTGTGTACGTAGGTGATACAATGTGACTTCATTCCTGGCCATGCGTAGGAGTGTAGTAATCTAGCATAGGTCTTTCGCCAACCAAAATGTCCCTTTGAATTGCGGGTTTCCCCTAGGGTGATACTGTTCGTTTCTTCACTAGAGAGAATGCATACTTGATTTTCACCACTGTCTCAGTCTGTTTGTGTGAAACAGCAATATTTCGCCCATTCATGTGGTCTCTCCTTTACCTTAGCTATAACTTTTCTATCAATTGGATCTAACTCATTGGCGTCTCTCATATAATAGTAATATTCCTCTGCAAGTCCTTTGCAGTATCTCAGTAGGTAGTGATTATCCCAAAGAAATGTGCTCTTCTGGACAACGCATCAGAGATGATATTATACTTCTCTTGTAGTGGCTTGAGCTTAAGTCAAATTCATCTATCACTCTAGCCCATCTCTGCAACTTAGTAGACAGTAGGGCCTGTGTCTTTAACCAGCCTAGGGTCTTGTAATCTGAATAAGCTTAAAAATGCCTTTCTAGAAGATGCTGCTGCCAGGTCCGCACGGCTGCATAATGAGCATAACCTCTCACTTGCAGCTAGAATCTGCTACTTTCTCTGATGATAGTTTCTAACAGATGAACTCCACTCATATATAGCCCTTGTCATCGTCCTGCTGTAATACAGCCCCTATCCCGTACTAGCTAGCGTCCGTGACCACCACAAATGGCAAGGGTGGATCTGCAATCTTCAATATTGGGTATTCTGTCAATGCCGTCTTCAATTTTCTCAACTATGATGTACAGTCCTTGTCCCACGGCCAAATAGCCTCTTTCCTGAGCACTCTAGAAAGTATAGCCCTTGTCACCATCCTGCTGAAATGCAGCCCCTATCCTGTACGAGCTAGCGTCTGTGGCCACCACAAATGGCAAGGGTGGGCCTGCAATCTTCAATATTGGGTATTCTACATACATGCGGCGCATCGACATGCGCTGCACCGCGCAGTGCGCATGACGCGCGCGCACTCTGGAATCGGGGGGTCACCAAAAAAAAACGAAAGTTGGGGGGGGGGGTTGCAAGGCCGGTAGGCACTTCGCGCCGCCGGTTAACGAAAAAAAAATATTTTTTTTGAGGGCGCGCAGGGCCCCGCAAAAACGAAAGTGCGGGGAAATCCAAGTAGTTCGTTTTTGAAGTACTCGGCCCTGCCCTGCACCGGCCCCACTCCGTTAGTTGGCCTCAGCCCTGCCCCGCGCCGTGTGTCCCCCTCGCCACTGTCGTCGTCGTCTTCTCTCGTGTGTTGGAGCTGGAAGCAGCCCCCCACGTCGTCGTTCAGCCACACCCTGCAGCTTCGAACAGCAGGAGGCAGCGAGGAGCCGAGGGTCGCAGCAGTGGGAGGATCCGAAGGAAGCAGCCGAATCCAGGTGGGTTGCCACCAGCCCCTTCCCCCCCCCCCCCCCC